GCATCTACGCAGTCTTGATGCACTTGGCGAATCCGCCAGCCAGGCCATCTTTGTCTCCATCATCACCTGTAAACTTCCCCGCCATGCCCTGACACAGCTGGAGCTCAAGAAGGGCGACACACCTTGGTCTGTCGCAAGCTTGTGCGATAGTCTACGAGACTACGTAGTCGCGCATGAAGCTGCCGTTCGACAGACGTCGTCGCATGCACATGCCGATCCGACCACCACCAACAGTCTATCCACCGCCGCGGCATCATCCGCACATTCTTTGGCCGCCACGTCCACTAGCGCTCGGACATGCGCCTTCTGCGGGACATCACATCCATCTTATGAATGTCGAAAGTACCCAGATGCCGCATCACGTAAACAGCACAGCAAAGACAGATGCTACATCTGCCTGAGGAACGGACACAATGCACGCACTTGCAAAAGCACTTCTTCTTGCTACTATTGCAAGAGCAAACGCCACCACAGTAGTCTCTGCCCGACCAAGTTTCCAGCGCCGCAAGCGTCCGTCAACGCCGCCGAAGCGACGTCGGCATCATCATCATCTTCATCCTCCTTACGGGCAGACGCCCCAGGTTTCACTTCTGAGCAGCACCAGCTATCTGCATTTTAGGAATTTGAGACCACTTTGTTCTTGCCATCGTCAACTTTAGCATTTCGTATTCAGGAGAGATACCAGGATTCTTATACCCGAGCGCGCAGTCTTGATGAATGCCCATGCGAACAATGTGGGACGGCACGAACTCCAGAAAACGAAATGCGCTCCGGGGCAGAATAGTGCGGAGCGCGATGAATTTGCTTGGTGCGGAAGAGAGCTCCGACAAAGTCCGAGACCATCACGGCTTCAGTGACAAGTAGACATTGCGCAGGAAGGGTCACACCAGTGTTCGAACACAGAAAACAGCAATTCCGACAGTCTGACTAAGACGGCCCAAGTCACAAATAATGCGATGTGCGAAGCGACAATTTTAATGACGCGGAGGAAGTACAAACATTCTGCTGAGACCTGCACAATCAATACTAGTATTTTCACTAGATCAAGCCCCTTTCCCTGTACTTCTAATAGCAGATACGCACTACAGTTTTCGACCCTGTGTGCTTGAATCATTTCTAATGAATCATTTCTTATGATGAATTTCTAATGATGAATTTCTGATGATGAATTTCTGATGATGAGTTTCTAATGATGAGTTTCTGATGATGAGTTCCTAATGATGAGTTTCTGATGACGAATGATGAGATATGCCTATTGCTGGAGGGATGTCAGTGAACAATCTACATCAGACAAAGAAATGTGTGCTGGTATATCGCAGTAGAACAGCTGGCAATGCTGATGAATGGACTGCCACTAATTTTAGCACTGTCTCCAGCATACAGCATGATGATCGAAGAGGCACATTCACGCGTTTATTTTGTCTATTTTTTGAAACGCACTGTAGTACCTTACTTGTCTATTGAAGTGTGATGGCACGGGCTGGAAGTAGGAGAGTAAAATCGTCAACCAATATGTAAAAAGGTGTTGCTCAATGAAATGCAATCCAGCTAGTCAATATTACGCACCTGCATTGCATTGTGCAACTCTACAAAACTTACGTGTGCACGTTGGCGATGGTAGTGACCAGGAGAGATCCTTTTGGCAGGTGAGAATGTTGTTCCCGGTCAGTCGGTGTCCTTTATTACATGTGACTAATGCCACACTACCGGGAGTGAGTGATGATTGGCTGGGCTGTACATTACCATCAGCAATGCTGGGTAGAGGGCTGCAGGAGATTCCTGTACAAAAAGCAAAAGCATGATGCACAGAATTCAGGCACCTTCTTTCCTTGGCAAGCGGTTTGCTGGTTTTGTTGGTGTTTTCAGACCTGCTACCTTCGCAGCAACATGCGCCACAAGTAGTGTCACCACGGGTGTCGTGACTCTATTCCAGCTATACACATATGCAAACCAAGTCAACATATTACTACATGCACAGGAGGCGTGATCTGGCTTCACCTTATTTTCTCCTCGTTTTTCACTTACATACGTAGTACCTCGCGAGTTCACCATTCTGGGCACACACCCAGATCACCGTGTGTCGATCACGACATGGCATCCATCTTGTTCTTTTTGGTTGACTCTTTTCCGTTTTCACTTTGGGGCAACAGCGAGTTCTCGCTCGTGCCATATCACTTCAAAGAAACGGAAACTGTTCAATACTCTAGATCCTTGTGCGGTTTGAACTCACCCCTAGCTCTCCCACTGTACCCAACTAAACATTATTCCGCACAAACTGGTGCTGAAACCTTTCAAACTCGTGTCAAACTCTTCAAGTATTTTTGTTGAAGCTCTCCGCTGGAAGTTTCTCCGCTCGTGCAGTCTACAGTTCGAGTCATCCCGGCGAATGACTGTGGACTTTCAGTACACCTGTGGTAACTCCGTAGACTAGTATACAGCCGTATTAGTCATGCCAAAGAAAAAGTTTCTTGGTACTCTGTACCTTCGGTGCTACCTTCGGTGCAGCCGACTACAGAAACTCGGCGCCGTGATCGATGCTTGTTTCACCGAAGCACATGCCCTCGCCAACTCAGCTACGTCAAGTGACCACGGGGCCGATGACCCTGACACTCACAGCGACATCGACAGTGACCATCGTGGCTCGGCGCAACCCCGCGACCAGCACTCAAAGCTAAGTACACAACTCCACGTGTTAGAGTATCACTTGTGTGCGTTTGAAGATGCATGTGACGAATTTGCCAGTGCATTGGGTAGCCCGGACGTGAAGGGCTCTGACGAGGCCAAGGAGCAGGAGATATCGGAGTACCTGGACCGTTCCATCCAATGGAACCAACAAATTCCACTTTTGAAACGATCTCCTGTCCTTGCAGGTCACCAGAGTCCCTCACCGTCCGCTCCAGTGAAATCGGAAGTCAGTGTTGAGTCCAGCTCCCAATCACGTTTGGAGGAGCATTTGAAAACCCTCATCGACATCTCCACAGCCAACCAACAGCAACAGCAGTACATGATGCATGCACAGGCACAACAGCAGTCCACAAAACCTGCACACAATCCTGCACCCCTGGCTCCCAAAGCGGAAGTATCCAAGCTGCCAAAGCTGTCCATTCCGAAATTCAATGGTGATGTTTTGAAATGGTTTGAATTTCGTGATATGTTTGTGTCTGCTGTCGACTCTCGGTGTCTGTCTTCCGTCGACAAATTATTTGATATCTTTGTTGTCTGGTGCTGCTCTTGCCTCCATCACCGGCCTCCAAATAACCGATGTAAACTACGCCATCGCGTGGAAAACACTGCAGACCCGGTTCGGCAACAAGCAGACGTGCGTGGATGCGTACTACGCAGCGCTCCGCGACCTGCCAATGGCCACAGAGGATCCGTCATCCCTCCGCGCGACACTAGATCGCATTACGATGCATCTACGCAGTCTTGATGCACTTGGCGAATCCGCCAGCCAGGCCATCTTTGTCTCCATCATCACCTGTAAACTTCCCCGCCATGCCCTGACACAGCTGGAGCTCAAGAAGGGCGACACACCTTGGTCTGTCGCAAGCTTGTGCGATAGTCTACGAGACTACGTAGCCGCGCATGAAGCTGCCGTTCGACAGACGTCGTCGCATGCACATGCCGATCCGACCACCACCAACAGTCTATCCACCGCCGCGGCATCATCCGCACATTCTTTGGCCGCCACGTCCACTAGCGCTTGGACATGCGCCTTCTGCGGGACATCACATCCATCTTATGAATGTCGAAAGTACCCAGATGCCGCATCACGTAAACAGCACAGCAAAGACAGATGCTACATCTGCCTGAGGAACGGACACAATGCACGCACTTGCAAAAGCACTTCTTCTTGCTACTATTGCAAGAGCAAACGCCACCACAGTAGTCTCTGCCCGACCAAGTTTCCAGCGCCGCAAGCGTCCGTCAACGCCGCCGAAGCGACGTCGGCATCATCATCATCTTCATCCTCCTTACGGGCAGACGCCCCAGGTTTCACTTCTGAGCAGCACCAGCTATCTGCATTTTAGGAATTTGAGACCACTTTGTTCTTGCCATCGTCAACTTTAGCATTTCGTATTCAGGAGAGATACCAGGATTCTTATACCCGAGCGCGCAGTCTTGATGAATGCCCACGCGAACAATGGAGGACAGCACGAACTCCAGAAAACGAAATGCGCTCCGGGGCAGAATAGTGTGGAGCGCGATGAATTTGCTTGGTGCGGAAGAGAGCTCCGACAAAGTCCGAGACCATCACGGCTTCAGTGACAAGTAGACATTGCGCAGGAAGGGTCACACCAGTGTTCGAACACAGAAAACAGCAATTCCGACAGTCTGACTAAGACGGCCCAAGTCACAAATATTGCGATGTGCGAAGCGACAATTTTAATGTCGCGAAGGAAGTACAAACATTCTGCTGAGACCTGCACAATCAATACTAGTATTTTCACTATATCAAGCCCCTTTCCCTGTACTTCTAATAGCAGATACGCACCACAGTTTTGGACCCTGTGTGCTTGAATCATTTCTAATGATGAATTTCTAATGAATCATTTCTTATGATGAATTTCTAATGATGAATTTCTGATGATGAATTTCTGATGATGAGTTTCTAATGATGAGTTTCTGATGATGAATGATGAGATATGCCTATTGCTGGAGGGATGTCAGTGAACAATCTACATCAGACAAAGAAATGTGTGCTGGTATATCGCAGTAGAACAGCTGGCAATGCTGATGAATGGACTGCCACTAATTTTAGCACTGTCTCCAGCATACAGCATGATGATCGAAGAGGCGCATTCACGCGTCTATTTTGTCTATTTTTTGAAACGCACTGTAGTACCTTACTTGTCTATTGAAGTGTGATGGCACGGGCTGGAAGTAGGAGAGTAAAATCGTCAACCAATATGTAAAAAGGTGTTGCTCAATAAAATGCAATCCAGCTAGTCAATACTACGCCCCTACATTGCATTGTGCAATATTTCTACAAAACTTACGTGTGCATATTGGGGATGGTGACCAGGAGAGATCCTTTTGGCAGGTGAGAATGTTGTTCCCGGTCAGTCGGTGTCCTTTATTACATGTGACTAATGCCACACTACCGGGAGTGAGTGGTGATTGGCTGGGCTGTACATTACCATCAGCAATGCTGGGTAGAGGGCTGCAGGAGATTGCTGCACAAAAAGCAAAAACATAATGCACAGAATTCAGGCACCTTCTTTCCTTGGCAAGCGGTTTGCTGGTTTTGTTGGTGTTTTCAGACCTGCTACCTTCGCAGCAACATGCGCCACAAGTAGTGTCACGACGGGTGTTGTGATTCTATTCCAGCTATACACATATGCAAACCAAGTCAATATATTACTACATGCACAGGAGTCGTGATCTGGCTTCACCTTTTTTTCTCCTCGTTTTTCACTTACGTACGTAGTACCTCGCGAGTTCACCATTCTGGGCACACACCCAGACCACCGTGTGTCGATCACGACATGGCATCCATCTTGTTCTTTTTGGTTGACTCTTTTCCGTTTTCACTTTGGGGCAACAGCGAGTTCTCGCTCGTGCCATATCACTTCAAAGAAACGGAAACTGTTCAATACTCTAGATCCTTGTGCGGTTTGAACTCACCCCTAGCTCTCCCACTGTACCCAACTAAACATTATTCCGCACAAACTGGTGCCGAAACCTTTCAAACTCGTGTCAAACTCTTCAAGTACTTTTGTTGAAGCTCTCCGCTGGAAGTTTCTCCGCTCGTGCAGTCTACAGTTCGAGTCATCCCGGCGAATGACTGTGGACTTTCAGTACACCTGTGGTAACTCCGTAGACTAGTATACAGCCGTATTAGTCATGCCAAAGAAAAAGTTTCTTGGTACTCTGTACCTTCGGTGCAGCCGACTACAGAAACTCGGCGCCGTGATCGATGCTTGTTTCACCGAAGCACATGCCCTCGCCAACTCAGCTACATCAAGTGACCACGGGGCCGATGACCCTGACACTCACAGCGACATCGACAGTGACCAGCGTGGCTCGGCGCAACCCCGCGACCAGCACTCAAAGCTAAGTACACAACTCCACGTGTTAGAGTATCACTTGTGTGCGTTTGAAGATGCATGTGACGAATTTGCCAGTGCATTGGGTAGCCCGGACGTGGAGGGCTCTGGCGAGGCCAAGGAGCAGGAGATATCGGAGTACCTGGACCGTTCCATCCAATGGAACCAACAAATTCCACTTTTGAAACGATCTCCTGTTCTTGCAGGTCACCAGAGTCCCTCACCGTCCGCTCCAGTGAAATCGGAAGTCAGTGTTGAGTCCAGCTCCCAATCACGTTTGGAGGAGCATTTGAAAACCCTCATCGACATCTCCACAGCCAACCAACAGCAACAGCAGTACATGATGCATGCACAGGCACAACAGCAGTCCACACAACCTGCACACAATCCTGCACCCCTGGCTCCCAAAGCGGAAGTATCCAAGCTGCCAAAGCTGTTGTCTGGTGCTGCTCTTGCGTCCATCACCGGCCTCCAAATAACCGATGTAAACTACGCCATCGCGTGGAAAACACTGCAGACCCGGTTCGGCAACAAGCAGACGTGCGTGGATGCGTACTACGCAGCGCTCCGCGACCTGCCAACGGCCACAGAGGATCCGTCATCCCTCCGCGCGAAACTAGATCGCATTACGATGCATCTACGCAGTCTTGATGCACTTGGCGAATCCGCCAGTCAGGCCATCTGTTGTGTATCGGTAGAAAGACTTTTCATGGCTCATTTTTGTTGTGGTCCTTTCGTTTATTTTGGTTTGTTTTGCGTTCTGCTTTGATTGGTTTTGGTTGCATGTATAGTTTGTACATGATCCAAGTAACGGTTACGTCATTGTCATACGTTGTGTTTTGTTGCGCGCATGCTCATATGCTGCCATAAATGTTACTCTTTTTCTTCAGTTATCAGTTTACCTCGTCGTGTCCGGTCTTCTTGTCTGTCCGTCTCCGTCTTGTCAAGAAATTATGTAGAACTCTCAGTTCAGTTTCGTTGTTGTGTGTGGCGGGTCGGATGGGCAGGGAGGCTGGGCCCCTGACACCTGGACAAGATGTGAGTGTGCACGAAATTTGGCGACCACGCCAGGATAGTCAGGGAGACGAGGAACTGGCAGAAACTCCGGTGCGAAGGAAAACGCATCGAGAACAAATCACCAAAACGACGTCGTCTGAGCTGAAGGCGCTGAGCGAGGAAACGTCTGCGAGGAGTGGCTGGCTTGTCGGAGCTGAATGCGCTGAGGGCAGATGAAATGGATTAACATCTGCGAGGAGTGGCTGGTCCGCCGGAGTTGAATGCGCTGAGGGCAGGGACGTCCCGCGAGGTGGCTGGTGAAGACGACGAGGTTGGTACGACGGAAGTCGGTGGAGCTAAAGGCGCTGAGGGCAGACGAAGACGGATAAACGTCTGCGAGGAGTGGCTGGTTCCTACGACAAGGACGGTGCGAAGGAAAACGCATCGTGAACAAATAACCCCATGTGAGTGTGACGCGGAGTTTGGAAGGTGCTCCTGCTGTGATTTGTTGATTAGTTTGAGTGGTTTGTTTTGCTCGAGTTTGTTTGGTAGTTCGAGTTTGGTAGTTCGGTTTGCTCGAGTTGTTTGATTAGTTTGTTTTGCTCTATTTGTTTGAGTTTGATTTGTTTGTCCCTGGTCGGACGTTGACTTTCGTTGGAGTTAGTTTGTTGGCGTGTCGATAGTTTATTTGTTGCCTCTTGTAGTTAGTTTGATTAGTACGCTTGCGGCGTATACTCGTAGGGCACAGTGTTCGCAGTCCTCGTAGAGCCCTGAAAAGGTCTTTGGTGGGGAATATGTTGTGTATCGGTAGAAAGACTTTTCATGGCTCATTTTTGTTGTGGTCCTTTCGTTTATTTTGGTTTGTTTTGCGTTCTGCTTTGACTGGTTTTGGTTGCATGTATAGTTTGTACATGATCCAAGTAACGGTTACGTCATTGTCAAATGTTGTGTTTTGTTGCGCGCATGCTCATATGCTGCCATAAATGTTACTCTTTTTCTTCAGTTATCAGTTTACCTCGTCGTGTCCGGTCTTCTTGTCTGTCCGTCTCCGTCTTGTCAAGAAATTATGTAGAACTCTCAGTTCAGTTTCGTTGTTGTGTGTGGCGGGTCGGATGGGCAGGGAGGCTGGGCCCCTGACACCTGGACAAGATGTGCGTGTGCACGAAACCATCTTTGTCTCCATCATCACCTGTAAATTTCCCCGCCATGCCCTGACACAGCTGGAGCTCAAGAAGGGCGACACACCTTGGTCTGTCGCAAGCTTGTGCGATAGTCTACGAGACTACGTAGTCGCGCATGAAGCTGCCGTTCGACAGACGTCGTCGCATGCACATGCCGATCCGACCACCACCAACAGTCTATCCACCGCCGCGGCATCATCCGCACATTCTTTGGCCGCCACGTCCACTAGCGCTCGGACATGCGCCTTCTGCGGGACATCACATCCATCTTATGAATGTCGAAAGTACCCAGATGCCGCATCACGTAAACAGCACAGCAAAGACAGATGCTACATCTGCCTGAGGAACGGACACAATGCACGCACTTGCAAAAGCACTTCTTCTTGCTACTATTGCAAGAGCAAACGCCACCACAGTAGTCTCTGCCCGACCAAGTTTCCAGCGCCGCAAGCGTCCGTCAACGCCGCCGAAGCGACGTCGGCATCATCATCATCTTCATCCTCCTTACGGGCAGACGCCCCAGGTTTCACTTCTGAGCAGCACCAGCTATCTGCATTTTAGGAATTTGAGACCACTTTGTTCTTGCCATTGTCAACTTTAGCATTTCGTATTCAGGAGAGATACCAGGATTCTTATACCCGAGCGCGCAGTCTTGATGAATGCCCACGCGAACAATGTGGGACAGCACGAACTCCAGAAAACGAAATGCGCTCCGGGGCAGAATAGTGCGGAGCGCGATGAATTTGCTTGGTGCGGAAGAGAGCTCCGACAAAGTCCGAGACCATCACGGCTTCAGTGACAAGTAGACATTGCGCAGGAAGGGTCGCACCAGTGTTCGAACACAGAAAACAGCAACTCCGACAGTCTGACTAAGACGGCCCAAGTCACAAATATTGCGATGTGCGAAGCGACAATTTTAATGACGCGAAGGAAGTACAAACATTCTGCTGAGACCTGCACAATCAATACTAATATTTTCACTAGATCAACCCCCTTTCCCTGTACTTCTAATAGCAGATACGCACCACAGTTTTGGACCATGTGTGCTTGAATCATTTCTAATGATGAATTTCTAATGAATCATTTCTTATGATGAATTTCTAATGATGAATTTCTAATGATGAATTTCTGATGATGAATTTCTGATGATGAATTTCTAATGATGAGTTTCTGATGATGAATGATGAGATATGCCTATTGCTGGAGGGATGTCAGTGAACAATCTACATCAGACAAAGAAATGTGTGCTGGTATATCGCAGTAGACTAGCTGGCAATGCTGATGAATGGACTGCCACTAATTTTAGCACTGTCTCCAGCATACAGCATGATGATCGAAGAGGCGCATTCACGCGTTTATTTTGTCTATTTTTTGAAACGCACTGTAGTACCTTACTTGTCTATTGAAGTGTGATGGCACGGGCTGGAAGTAGGAGAGTAAAATCGTCAACCAATATGTAAAAAGGTGTTGCTCAATGAAATGCAATCCAGCTAGTCAATACTACGCACCTGCATTGCATTGTGCAATTCTACAAAACTTACGTGTGCACGTTGGGGATGATGATGACCAGGAGAGATCCTTTTGGCAGGTGAGAATGTTGTTCCCGGTCAGTCGGTGTCCTGTATTACATGTGAAAAATGCCACACTACCGGGAGTGATTGGTGATTGACTGTGCTGTACGTTACCTTCAGCAATGCTGGGTGGAGGGTTGCAGGAGATTGCTGCACAAACAAAGAAGGAGAATTCAGAATTCAGCATGATGTACCCAAAGCTGATCCATTGATGGGAAAAAAGGATGTGGCAAATGGGATTTCGGTCTTTGGTCTCTGGTTGGTGGATCTGATCAATAGTATCACCCCCACCATTTAGGAGCCTCACCTGGTGCCTGATGAGGGGGGGGGGGGGGGGGTGGCGTCCCACAGAAGCAGAAAGGCGGTTCTTGACGCTCTCGGTACGTGACCATGTATTTTAATCACTCTCCAAAAATCATGTTTTTCAAAGGCCTAGAGAATGGGGATAATCGGCACAATCACAAAATGCAATCATGCAAGTCAAGCCTGTTTGTGCCTTGCATTCGTGCATAGCCCAATCTTCACAGGTCTGGGGCTGCACAGGTCATAGCCTGGCATTGACTTGAGCGATAGGATGCACTGCTCTCTTAGCGCTAGATGGTTCAACAAACACAGACCTGCTTTCAAGACTTGACGTACACTGCACACACCTACTAGCTACAAGAAAACTAGGCGTCAAGGAATGGATCATGTGACATCATTTTTAGCTGTACTATGCAAAAAATGGAAGGGTTAATTTTTGGAATAATCTAGAGTTTGTAACATTGCTTACTTGTGCATGTCGGTACTCGGTCTGACCAAATTCCATTTGACAGGCAAACCGTTGCGCTCTTGCCTTTGATTTGATAGCCATCGTTGCATGCAAATGTGGTCAGTCCATAGGGTACTGTGGACCTGCTGACAATGACGCCATTGAGTGGTTCGAGAAGTGCATTACATAGAATACCTGGATATCAAAGGAAACGAGATCATGCACATGCGCGCATGCCAGTGCATGTGTGCACGCACCGGCATGCACACACACACACACACACACACACACACACACACACACACACACACACACACACACACACACACACACACACACAACACACACACACACACATACACAAACACACACACACACACACACACACATACACACACACACACACACACACACACACACATACACACACACAAACACACACACACACACATACACAAACACACACTCACACACAAACACACACACACACATACACACACAAACACACACACACACACACATACACACAAACACACACACACACACACACACACACACACACACATACACACAAACACACACACACACAAACACACACACACACACACATACACACAGACAAACACACACACACGTACACAGGTAAACACATGCACAGCATTCAGAAATACCAGAATACAGATTTGAATTTTGATGGAAGTCATGGAATGATTTGAGCAAGGTTTGCCTGAATTACGATCTGTTCACGTTTTGTATCAAATTTTGTCATTGACGACACCTTTTAACATTGTCATGCCTACAGTAAAACCTGATGTAAGCGACCTCTCGCTTTAGCGACCACCTGCTCCTAACGACCGTTTTTCCATGCACGGACAGTTCTACACAGACACTGTGGGACCTGGTTCTAAAGATCACCCGGCTTTAACAACCGCCTTTCCTTGCACCGTGGGGTGGTCGCTTAAACCAATTTTTACTGTACTAGCGATAAGAAAAACTAGGCGACAAGGAATGGATCATGTGAAGCCATTTTTAGCTGTACTATGCCAAAAATGGAAGGGTTAATTTTTGGAATAATCTAGAGTTTGTAATATTGCTTACTTGTGCATATCGGTACTCGGTCTGACCACATTCCATCTGCCAGGCAAACTATTGCGCTCCTGCCTATCATTTGATAGCCGTCGTTGCATGCAAATGTGGCCAGTCCATAGGGTGATCTGGAGCTGATGTAAATGAAGCCATTGGATGGTGCAGCTAGTTCAGTACACTGCACAGCTGGATATCAAAGGAAAAGAGATCATGATCATGATCACGCGCACACACACACACGTACACACACAAAGACACACAGACACACACACACACATACACCATGTATCCACCCGTCGCAAGAGAAGCACACAAATCTGCAAATGCACTGGATGTGCACCCACAGATTTTCTCTTTATAGCAACGATAGCGGATCTGATTTTGATTGAAACGGGTCAAAAGAAACGCCAGATAACTGTCTAATCCACACAACTGGCAAAGTCATGTGAATCGACCCCCCAATGCACACCTGGTCTACACCACACGGAGGG